TATTTCTAATTTTATCCTATTTATTCTCCACGCACCTTCTCCATAATGTTCTCCATACAAATTCCACAGCATTTCCCTATACTTTTCGCTTCAGCAAAAGCTTGTTCCATTGCCATCTCATGCTGCTGCAAACACTCCTGAAAATATGATACCAGTGATAATAGGAGAGAAGTCAGAGCCTCCCCTGACCCTGCGCTGAAGCAACCATATTTCCGAAAAGAGTTCTGCTTCAGCCCGGGTTCGTGCCCATATAGAGAAACGAAGAATCGGGAAAATCCGCAATGAAAAACTAGGTACAGATATCGAACTGGCCAACTGAAAGGGCTTCTGCTGCACAGGGGTGTTTCGTACCTTAGAAGCGAACCTTTTCGCTGGTTCGCTGATTCGCCGAATCTCCAATTATCCGCTTCTTCACTCTCTCGAAATGGCGCAATCGTGAAGGGAGACCAAGCGATTAGTTTCGATCTAGATTTTTCGCGCATTCTCTAGTTCTACGATTCCCCGGGTTTTCAAAAATTGTGAACACGGTATTGGACACATTGTACGAAAAGCCTGAGGGATGGATTTCCTTCCGCGTTGAAGGACTTTGCCGCAGAAAAGTACCACTATCGCCCATTGAGACACATTCCAGCGTGACCGTGTGGCATATCATCTGATGGGCGGAGACTTTAACAACATCAAGGAATCATACGCCCTTAGCGTCAATGCATGATTTTCAGCAGCGAAAGTGGTACAATTCTTCGGCTCGGGACTTGCCCGCCTTGCATGTGGAAAGGATACGCGTCTCACGTAATTATGCAATGTTTTTTAAATTAAAAAAAATAAAAGAATTGAGAAAGAACTTACAGCAAAGTGCTGTTTTTGTTGCTTTTCATCATACGGATGGATACAGGCGCGCGAACACATATCACATACAAGACCGTGCACGAACTGGCATTTCTCATTGTTACAATCCCCTACTTCGAAGTAGGGACACAGTGGTAGCGCAGCACCTTCACTTTCAATCGCACCTGCAGCAGCAGCATACGATGTTCCTGAGAATATTATTCGATTTGCTACATAAAACATTCTAGAGATTAGCACAGAAATCTAATGTAACACTCACCGGGCGCTGAACGTTTCCAAGATGGTATAAACTCTTCAGCATTCGTATTAAGGCCAGGTTTCGGTAATTTCACTGGTTTAGGTATGGAAGAGGATTTTGGCGTCGATAGGGTACCATTCGCCACATTAGCTCCAGCATCATTTTTAGGACGGACGTGGTCATATCTGCAGGCTGTGCCATAAGAACAACTGAAATTTGCTAACATTATTTCAGAACCGGCCTTATCTTGAACTCTGCATGGATGATTCAAATGATTTGTTTCGTAGATGCGAGTCTAACATTACAGCGCCTTCGGCTGATGCTTTGGCTTCCTCATCGCCTAAGAGTCGGACAAGGATTCAGATTAGTTCACAAATACATCTAAACAATCCCAGAGACAATGAAGATCACCATTTGATAACGATCAAATGGCTCACCATAACTATACTCTAGTTCGTTGCGGATAAGGAGCTTGCCAGGTAGTATGAATGTACCAGGGAGCCAAACCCGTCTCCTTTCAGTTGCAGAAGCGGGGATGCGACAACAATTGGTAGAATGTAGTGGTACCAACGATATGATACGGTCTTGCTACTTGCTGGCTTCAAAGCTGGTGGAGAACTGGTTCGGCACCGCGCCAGACTCATTCCGCCTTACAGGCCTTTTCGTCCACAGCGAACAAGACCACCAGTGAAAGTGGAGTGAAGGGAAAATAGACTAGGAATTAAAAAGATTAAAAACTGTATACTGAGACAAGGAAACGGGACAAAGTGAATTAAGTCTTAGGCACTTATGGCCACGAATGCTGGTTTTCCTATGATGACGAATGAGAAGAATTCTGTAATTACCCGACAGGCAACCTCTTTCCTATACAGCTATCCAGTCCACAATTTCAAAGGTTATTTCATTTTCGCGGCTTCACAAAAAACAAGGGCGATATACAGCATAAGCTGAAGGAGCGCCACCGGAAGAGGGTACGTCCCCCCCCCTTTTAGAACGGGACGAAATATACCTGCACTCTTCAATCTATTTGCCCGTGCAGCAATATCTGGCATTCAAACAGTCGTTCGAATCTTGGATCATTAGCGCATTCTCGAAGGTGTTGCCCACTATTTTCCTCGCTAGTAAGTCAAATGTCATCTGTGAATTCATCTTTAGACTCCAAAGATCACGACTAGTAATCAACGAAAGTATCTTTAACAATTTTATCAGTTCAACAAAAGCTCTCAGCAAGTTAATCTAGGTATAAACTCAATCGCAGGCTCAAGTCATTCCAAAAACCCAGCACTCAAATACATACCTGCCACGTAAATAATACCTACAAACGAGATCTGCCGGACTATCCCTGTCATGTGAGTAAGAGCATCGATCACCCTGAGTACAACAACCGTTGACAAAATATCGACATATTGTTCGGCTTGGACCTGATGTATCTCTTGGCATAAGTACCTGAGACGAGGTGTTATTAGGGTTATAACAAATTCTGACAGAAAAAAAACGACGCGAACATGCCGTAATCCGGACCCCTTCCTGTCCGATCCACTGGGAACCAATGAAGGATAAGTGAACAAACCGCCCGGCATGAAACTATTTCTTTTTATGATTTATCACGCCTTAAACTCTATTTGAAATTGTACTGCCAGTTCAATCGCACTAATATACAGCTTGGCATGTTTTCTTCCTGGATCGATCACTAACCGATCACCATTGGTCGAGCACGGCAGACGGAGGCAGGCTCATTCCGCACAGCCCTAACTGATTGCGACGATCTCAACAATAAACAGGAACTCGGAAGTGTTGGGTCGAGCACCTACTCATGTGTAGTCCAGTATTTTCAACGCTTCCCCTCCCTCCCGAAGGACAAATGTGGTACCAATTATTTGACCCTGAAGGGGGAAAGAACGGATAGTCACGCACGCACACCACCGTTCATAGGGCTCCTAGAAATAAGCCCTTCGTCAAACCCCGTTTATAAAAATAGATTTCCAGGAGTCAACGCTTCCCCAGTTTCTGGTGCGAAACCAGCGCACGTAATGCTGCATCGTGAATGTACCATACCGTATCCCATACCGGCCCAAATGAACCATTTGGTAAGACAAAACAGCGCTGTCAACAAAAGAAAAAACTGGGGATAAAGGGAACCAGGGCACAGCAGCGCATTGTGTAAAATTGTGGATAAATGCGACTCCCTCGAATGTTCTCCCTGAGTAAGACCTTCTTTCACGACTTATTTTCTCAAAATTCACCCCCGACCGGGATGCAGACCTCTACCCATTGATCAAAACACCCCTTGTTGGGATTTGGCAATTCCGACCAAAAATCCCCTCCGGGGTAATTACAACCCCCTCCCCAGCGACCAATAATGACTCTCCATCCGTTGGGTTTTTCACAGCGGAGATGCTGTGCCTTGACTGAAACCCAAACCATCCTTGGGTAATCGTTACAGCAGGGTTAATCATAATATCGGCTCACATCGAATGTTCTATTCCACGCTCTGTATTCTAAGCCGACGGGAGGAGCGGGGGGGGGTGCATTTTCGCAAGCTTCACCAGTTCCGTTCCACAAGTCTCACTCTGGTGAAACCTAAGGCTTGTTGTGAAGCTGGAGAAAACTCATGGTAAACCTGTCAATTCTTGGAAGCCCATGAAACAGCTCTCTAGATGGCTCGACACGTCGATGGGAAGTGGGAAAAATGCCTCCCCCCCGCCACTAACAGCTCCGACATACTGCACGCTAACTTTTGCTTTTCCATAATGTTCGGAAGCTTGCATAGGTGCATAGGCTCATCGCCATAATTAAAATTCGAGAGGCAGATAGATATTTTGACATGAACGGTACA